CTTGAAGATTGTTTGCTTCTTTGAAGAGAGCTTACTGCTGCATGATATTTCAGCTAAACATCGCAGTAAGATTAAACGGGGATAATCCGTGGGTATGATGAGCAGAAAAAGCAGGTATGACTTGAGCTTAGCCATTTAAATCACTAGGTATGACTTAAGTTTAGTCGTTTAAATCACTAGGTATGACTTGAGCTTTGTCGTTTAAATCACTAAATCATTATTGTCACAGTAATTTAAAAGTGCAAAAGGATGTTTCTCGGAACGACGCTTAGTTTTCGTTCTGTTCATTAATCTCACTTCTTAATTTAAAGAGTTTTGAGATCAACTTTTCTTTCTTTATAACGGGTTCGTAGCGTAATGTTTCCAAAGGAGGGACTAGCGCTTCGGGCGCGAGCAAACTCGTCCACACTCGTCCTTTGAAGTCCACGTGCGTCAACCACGTACTTTAAAGGACGAGCCTCGACGAGTTTGTTGGCGCCCGACAACGCTAACCCCGCCTCTGGAAACATTACGCTACGGACCCCTTTATAACATATACGGCCTTGACTCTCAGAAGAAAAATCGTCCATCCTAGAAGAATCTAAAAGGTCAAAGTCAAGCTTCTGCTTATGCTAAAACTCGGCGGTGAAAACTATTGCCTTGCGGCATTTGCTCTCGAATCCCATTAAAACGCTAATATCTCGTGTTAGTCCCCGTTCCTCAAAAAGCGGGTTTCCGCAATTTTCGAAGAGTTTGATCACTTCCCTATAACACTAAAAACAGCACAGAGAGGGTGGAGCAAAAAAACGTTGCCGTTTCCAAATCGTGCTCACTTTCGTTCACGTAAGTTTTACCTTAAAATTTTTTTGCTAGTAGTACGCTCAAAATTTGGTATGATGTTATGCAAGTCGTTCTGGAGAAAGGAAATTCCTAATGTGGCGCTGTTTTCCTCTGTAGTTATACATGCTCCTGAGGACCTTTGAACCGTTAAAACTGATCCTCCCTTGACCCGTAGGATCATATATTATTAGATAGCAATGCTTCAAGAAAAATCGATTATTTTAATAGGTTAATATACATCCTAGATTTGTCAAAATAAGCTTCCTTTACAATAAATACACTGGTGTGCAAATACCAAATGAAATAGGTATTGACTAAACACCGCAAATACTCAATCTGGCTTTTCTTGTAATCAAAGTGGGAGTGCAGTTCATAAAGGAAATCAGGACCCGTATCTGACAAAAGTTAGCAGTGGGAGGTAGTCCGGTTACGGTGGAAATAGCTATACTGGATGCGGGGACAGATTTTTGCCGGAACAGCTTTCTTGTGGAAGGAGGAGTCAATAAAACCTTTAGCTTTTGCTGAAGTTTGTGTATTTGATTATGTCTGATAATGACACTTACGTTAAGGTTTAAAATTTGGCTATTTTTTGCACTTGCCAACCTTGTCATTGAATTTTTCATTCCAAAAGAAATCTTCTACGTATATTCGCCTTCGTCTTGGTACTGCGTAATCCATCGCTCACTCGAAAGTGGCAGCTTGCTCAAATCTTCTTGAAGCTGCTCGTCATGCCTCAGTCATTTTGAACATGACACCTGATGCTTAAGCTATGTTGCTCTTTTTTATCGTAGAAGTTCTATACTTTGTCCTTTTACTATTTATTTATTTTAAATCTTTACAGCACTGAGTCTACGTCCAATTTCTGCATGACGCAAGAGTTCACTTAATACAAGACGCAATCTGTATTCTACTTTTCACTGAAGCATCATGACTGCATTTCTTAAATAAACATGGATAAATAAATATTTCGCTTAGCTGGCGTACTACTAATAGAAAGATAGTAAATCAAGCTCAAGTAGCTACTGGGATTCAAAGTAATTTCGATTTACTTCTCAAAAATTTAATTTTCAGCGCCATTTGACATTCCAAACCCCAAAGCATGTATCATGTTTCTACGTCCATTAAAGATGAGAACACAAGCAGTAAATCTGAGTAAGAATGAAGAAGAGTGATATAGGAGCTAGGTTACCGCAAACAAACGAATGGCACGCCGCTGAACTCAACCTGACAGCTTTGTCTCATCACTTGTCCGAATTGTAAAGTAGAGGGAGAGAGGAGAAGGCCCGATGAATGTTGGATTTGGATCAATGAATGAGTAAACACTTGAGCACGGAGAAAACAGCGAAGGAAAAAACGTTCC